CCGCTCCTATGGCACTTAGCAGCGGCATCTTGGAATTGTCTCATAGTATTTTTATGTCCAGAGAAGAAGTAGGGGTAATCTACCTCTGTGTCCCCGTGGCTGGGCCAATACATGTTTAAAGATCGGCCAAGAATAGGGAGTCTACAATGATCTACATAAAGGCAGCACAAAGAGATACAACCCAGAGCTGAGATCCCCAGTGACAATGTGAACAGCGAGTCCATGGTCTCCATCCTGGAGCACCACCATTCCTGCCTGAGCTGGTGGGATCCGTGGGTGGGCACAGCATCCATTCTCAACAAGCCAGGCACCGAAGAGTAAGACTGGAACCAGAGAGACAGAGAAATCTGAGGCATTCAGCTGGAGATTCCACTCGTACCCACTAAAAAAAGTCATGCATCCAACCAGCCATCTGGTCTCCAGCCCATCTACTCCCCAAACATTTACTTAGCATTTTCAGCCAGCCAAGCATAATATTAAATACTGAGGGATCGTGGACAAATAAATCATTATCTCTCTTTGCAAGGAACTCTTCCAGGGGGAAATCTGATATGTACAGGTAACCCTCAGAGACAGAGCTTGGCTTGAGCTCTCTCAAGCAGTGCCCTCTGGTCTGAGGCGTGCCAGCCTGCCTCCATCCTGGACCTACTGGTTGAACCTCGAACCAGCTTCACTCTGTGGTATGGCTTAGGCAGAACTGAAAGTGGCTGGCATTGGAAAGAGCATGGCTCTAGAAAGGGAGGAATTTGGCATCCCTGTAACAGCCGGTTACTTTCTCTCTGAACCTCAATTTCCTCATTTCTAGATGTGGGGTTTGGACTGGGCAGTCACTGAGGTCTCTATAGGCGCTGACATTCTGTGTTCTTACCCAGAATGCCTCAAGGACAAATACAACACTTATTTATCCATGCGTCCTTAATACCTAGCACAGTTTGGGAATATGGTAGCAATCCCTTAAGTGCATCTGTGAACATCTGGGTGTCCCTACTGTGGGGGTACAAGGAAAAAGCTCTGCCCAAGTCTCCCCGTCCAAAATGGGGCCTCCACTCACTCTCCCTCCCCGTTCTGTGCTTCTGCTCCCATCGATGCACTCATCAATACTTGGCCATAATTATATTTGTATTTGTTTTTCAGCTTTATTGTTCATCTTTCCCACTAAAGTAGCAGTCCACGAAGGCAGACACTGTTCCTAGATGTACCCACCTGGAACAGGGTCAGGCCCCTAAGAGACAGTCAGTCACTGATTTCGCACAACGAAGAAGCGAACAGAGTGAGCTCAGGATGGCGGAGCAGAGAGGATAGGGGAGAGCCTCCCAACATCAGTCCTGGCTGCCCACCCCCGGCCCAGTCTCTTCCTGTTATTTTGACCCGACACCCTGAACTCTGCCTGGGCCGCTTGGACCCACTGCCTCCTCCTTCCACTTTCCCGCTCCTCATGACCCCACCCGAGGCTTCTGTGGGAGGCCTCCTGGCCGAGGCGGCCCTCTGCCTCCTTGACAGGTGCTGACAGAGGCGAGGCAGGTCTGTGAGAAATCAAGGCTGACGTCTTGGCCTCGGCCAACCTACCCAGGGCCAAGCCCCCAGCCAGCCAGGGGCCAGGCCTTTGCTGCTACTGGCTCCAGGTTAGCAGGCAGGGGGTTTCTCTGTCTCGGGCCGGCCTCTGCCTTCCAGCTTCTCTCCAGGTTTTCCCTCTCTCCAGATTTTCTGTCTTCCCTTGCTCATCCTCAGCTTTTTTTTGTTATAACCTAGGGCAGTGATGGCGAACCTTTTGAGCTCGGGGTGTCAGCATTTTGAAAAACCCTAACTTAACTCTGGTGCCGTGTCACATATAGTAATTTTTTTATATTTGCAACCATAGTAAAACAAAGACTTATATTTTTGATATTTATTTTATATATTTAAATGCC